TCAACCATAATTACCAGTTTAGACAACAACTACGATTCTGCGTTTCCCTTTGACATGACTGCTGTCAAGCAACCACATCTCAGCCGTTCTAACAGAGAACGGCTGAGCACGGCCCATCAGCACGGCCCATCAGCCCTCATGTCATTTGTTACCTTGACACACACTGATGCCTCTGAGTGTGCAGGGAAACGTGCCCTACACCTCAATTAGCATAAATCATGATAACTCCTGCACTGCTTCTGGGAGAGCACTCTGTGTGAGCAGACCTTTTTAAAGACCAGATACTATTGATTACCGAGGCAAAGTCATTAGCAAGGGGCTTTAATCAGACAGCTTGTTAATGAGCGGCGGAGCATGACCGCCCCTCCTCACATGTAAACTTCACACCCATCCCCTCCTGCCTCCCCTCCTTCTATTCCCTCTGGAGACTATTCAATCATGCTGGCTGTGGAGTGCCTTGCCATTCTTTGGTGTTGAAAAAGAGGAAAGGTTTCCTTTCTTTCTGAAACCAATTAGGTTTTCCTCCAGCTTTGTAGCAGGGATACGGACTGATGGTGTCCATAGAAAGGAAATGCATTGAAACACCCCTGGATTGTTGTGGAAGCTCATTTGTGTTTTTCACATTGTAGAAATCTTGTTTTGAAGATGATGCGTCTGGGTAAAACCATCAAAAGAGGAAAATCCTCCTCCTTCCTTGTCTTTATTCCTAAACTCTTTCAGCCTCTGTCAAGCATTCTTGAGTAAAACATTAACAAAATTATCTCACTGCTCTTTGTCTCCTCATCTTAACTTCTGATCCTAAAACTGATGGAGAACATTGGAAATGATTGACCAAAAAAGAAGCCAATTCACTGTGTGAATTATAAAATTAAATAATTAATGTAAAACTGAATAAATAGTGAACGCTTGTTTTAAAAAAAAGGATTTTCTGTTGTTGGCAATACATCTAAAGAACACCGAGAACATCTAAAAATGAAAGTTGTCAACATTTCATTAAGCATTTCATTAAGTAAACTCGTGTTATGTCGTCTTATCTTGGTGAGCTAATGGCTTCTCAGATGTACTTTATGAGATAGCTATGATAACTTAAGCTCCAAAAGTTTAACTGCATTTGCTAAATACTACATGAACGTACTCTGAAATATTTTGGTCTAAATTATGTTTGCATACAGACTTATTGCTATTCATAGCTTCTGTGTGAAGAATAAATATGTGCAACTTGAGGCTTTATCAATATTTTAATAAAGCCTAAATGCAATACATGCTAAATGCTTTTAAGACATTTTAGCATGTCTTAAAAGCAACAAGCGTTAACATGATTTCTTTACTCAAAGACACCAAGTGAACGCTAAGGTTTTTAAAATGTGGTCACTGCTCTCAGTATTGTTATCACAAGCTGATGCTCACCATCTAAGTTTAATGTGTTAGAATGAAAACACTGCTAGGAGTTAAAACATACAGTTAGCTTTAGCTCATGATGCAGTTTTATAGTTTTGCATACTGTAGCTAAGATAAATAATTCAGAGTCAAGGAAGTTGTGATTTCTGCTCATTATGTTTCATGCAGAGTGGGACGTCTTGCAAAAACAGAAAACCTGCATAGGTACTTAAGGGATTGGACTATTCATCATTCATTATTTCAATCATTTTGGTTTCTTTCTTTATTGTTAAGTGTAAATTCTGGATGCAATTTCCAACATCAGAAGTAGTGCATGTGGCTAAAGCCTGCCTCCTATTGGCGAGTGTTCGTCCTCAGCCCTTACACACTCATGCATATTTCAGTAGGAGAGGAGAGAAAGAATCAATGGAGCAGCCAGGGAGGAGGACACATGGGAATCCAGACTGTGGTTTACGGGCTGCAGACGTAGCACACATTGTTTGGAAAACTGAGCCCGGGGTGACACATATATAGACGGGTCAGTCCACAAAGGGACCTTCTGCAGAATATTTTATCACAAAATGGCATCTTTTATTTTGATGATCACTTTGGTAAAAACGGGAGTAAGATACTCGGCCCTTTTAAAAAGAGATTAAAGCAGATTAATACGCGGGATACAGATGCCAAGTCAAACACCTCCAGTTTTATTAGCTGACAAAATGTAGGAATAAAATGTGAAAAGAAATTATGACTGGAAGGAGGACAGACTCATCATATGGTGACTGATGAGATGTTTATCCAGCATGTCAGGCTTGACCCCTGTCAACCTTAACATTTTAATCCGCAGGATGACAGCTGAGCCGAACCGTGTCTGGAGTTTCCTTTGAAGCTGCTCGATTGGTCGGTCTCTTTGCGCATGTCTTTGCTTGTAGCATTGATTCAGCCCCTCTCTCCCGCCCCTGTGCCATGTTAAACACACATCTGCACACGAGAGGAGAGGATCCGCATGTATTACCACAATTTTAATGGTTTAGTAATGAAGGGTTTATTGGTGATAGGGGAGAGGGGGTACTGGGGTCGTGGACTGTGGCAGGAAATGGATGGCTTTGTAACGTCCCCTGGGAGGCTGTGCTGAACTCATTTCAATTTCTTCTTCCGTTACAAGACTTGATGAAATCTGTAAATAATTCAACTCACCTCACTGAAACTACAATCATTATATGCCCTGGTCATGCTGTGGTCCTTATTTTTGCCAGTAGCTTTCGGATGCTTTGTGTTGCAGATCTATAAATGTTCTCGTGTGAGAGTGAGTGTGTGTGTGTGTGAGCATGCATGCTTACGTCTGGATTAGAGCTGCATGTGTGCTCAGCTGGTGCCTTGAGTTGCAATTTCATTTGGTTTAATGAGATTTGGACAAAGCAACCCAAGAGATTATTTGGTTCTCATTGCCAGAGCTGCATGTCCAAGAAGCTTGTGATAATTACAATGTTTTTTGTGTGTGGGTGTTCGCGTGCGCGGGCGTGCGTGTGTGTGTGCGTGTGCGTGTGTGTGTGTGTGTGTGTGTTGTTATGTCCTGCTTTTCATATATATATATATATAAGAATTCCCAAACATGGACTGACCTTCCTCTCTCGTGTCACCTTTGCAGATGCTGAATGAGCGTCATGTCATGGTTCGTGTTGGTGGTGGGTGGGACACTTTCTTAGGTTACCTGCAGAAACATGACCCCTGCAGAGGCGAGGGAGGAGCAGGAAGAGGGACGCCGGCCAGGCCTGAGGTCAGGGTCTGTCGGGACAAATTAAAACCCGCCGGCCTGAATGTTTCAACAGAAAATTATATGGTGGTTGGTGTTCACCATAGGGGAAAGAAATAGAGTCTCAAAGAGTTATTTTAACAAAACAGTTTGAACCTCTTTTTTCCTCAGTGTTTAAAGCCAAAATTTCCCTTTTTTATATACGTCACTGACAGAGATGACTGTCCTTTCAGGATAGCTGAGTTGATTTTTTCTTAAGAACCTCTTTTACGAACTTAAGAATTTTAATAATCAATGAATCTGTACTTTTTTATGAGGAAATGTCATAAACTAGCTAACTTAAATATTTCTCTTAACTGTTTTTACGTTGACATTGAGTCATAAAGCAGAACACCTTGAGAAGTCAGGGATAAACATTGACATAGCTGCTTGCTGGAGCACTAGCTTTTTCTGTAGCAGGATCCATAATGACCTGGATGATCTGACGTATTCAGATCGAGGAACTGATTAAAATAAATCAAAAATAATCAAGGATCAGATATATATTTCAATAATGACTAATATGTTGAAGTATGAATCCAAACTTTTCTTCTTCTTACTGTAAATTGAATCCTGCTAAATGTTGGAGTAAGTAGTCTTGCTAGCAATAGATGGTTAACTCTAATAGTTTTAGTCTTTTTTGTTTTTTGTTTATCTTTTTGTTGTTTACAGAATAATAAGGGGTTAGAAAAGAGGAATAACTCGTTTTATTGGTTGTTTAATATGACAAAGCAAACATTATTTAAATTTCTATGAGCGCATAAGTGTTAGTGTGATTAGACAGCTCCATGACAACACGATGACAGATCTGCAGCAGTAAGACAACAAGCACAATAAAAATCAAAGCTGATTGCCTTGTACATTATTCTGCTGAAAAATCATGTCTTTTTTAATCAACCTTCATTCCAGTTGTTGTTTTAATGTTCTACACTTTTTAGATTCAGAATCTATCAAACCTCAGTGTTCTTCCTTTAAATGTACTTCTTTTCTCTTACAAGCTCTTCTTTAAAGTAGATTTGTTTTGTTTCTATTCTTTTGTTAAACTTTATTATTTGAATATCACCAATTGATTTGTCTGATCACTAAGAAGTTTACTTTTGATGCTATTATTAACCTACTTGGATGATGACCAGTTTCAATTGACCTGTAATTAAAATAAAAACATTTTTTAAAATGTTTCATCAATTTTATCATCTCTCCTTTAAATCTGTTACCATTCTGTCTGTCTATGAGCCAGGAGTTCTTGCCTTATCCTTAAAGCGATACCGCTGTTGAACGTTAAAGTCAACCTTGACAAAAAAAAAGACCAGAATCACTGATGCACTTCACTTTTTTCTACATATAATTCTGCAGTTATAAAATCACTGGTTTAAAATCAATACTTATTCCAATAGTTTACACTGGTGCTGTGGAAAAATCGTACCATACAAATGCTAAGAGACAGTATATTTGTATAATGATGAAAGCAAAGCACACTGAAAGGAAAAGGCTCCGCTTCTCATCAACTTTATTCAAATGCAAAAGCTCCCTCTAGATGGCACCATGTCCTCATTGACAACAGGCCACGCCTCACCCTGGCAGCACTCTGCCGCTAAGACCATCTCTCCGCTTTTCTGGACCTCACTCCAAAGAACTGCTTCCAGTTTCAGCTCCGCAGATCCATTAATAGGAATATCCCCCTGCTTTCTCAGCAAGACTAGAGTTTGTCACGTATTCACTCTTTGAATGAAAAAGAAATAAGAGGCAGATCAAATGAGGATAATTTACAGATGTCCTTGGAGGGTAATGCAGATAACAGGCACAGAAGAGAAGAAACAACATTCACAACATGTTAATAAATACATATTTTATTACATTAGAATAAATCAATAAAAATGGACACAGATTTTTTTTTTTATCATATACTGAAAGAAACTAATGAGATCATGCAAGACTGTAATGTCTTTTTTAATCCCACACAACATCTGAAGTGGATGCACCCAGTATAAATGAACTGTAGAAAATAATAGCTGTGCTACTGAAACATGTGCCACTCTGAGGGGCGGCGTTTTCTCTCGCAGTACAAAGTTCCTCATGAAACACACAGGAGGGAACCACTTGAGAAGGATTTTACAGCCTTTCTGAGTACCATGTGGCAGAATTGTTTTCAAGTGTTCTTTGTTGTTGATATTTTGAGAGTCTTGCTACGGTGTGCTGTGGTTCACTTTTTATCAAGTCCGGGGAGGTGTAATTCTGTGCTTCACAATATTTGTAAAACATAGGGGTCGCATGATGGCACATGAAGGCCAGAGAAGTCAAATTTCTCCACCGGCAATGTACAAAACATCTTGAAAGGGCGGTGTGCAACTGTGTTTGAGTCACAATAACACCTAATACTTGTAGTAAATGACCTATACATACAGTCACTGTAACTGATTTTGTTGATATCAATTCACACGAGTTTGGGTGTGAACTCAAAACTTGAGAAACCCAAATCATCTTGTTGCATTGCATTCTGTCAATTTTCTTTGTCACAACCTTACACAAAAATCTTCATATATCATATTCAGAGTTTCTGATATGCAAGAGCCTGGATCCTGAACACGCCGTGGAATGAGGCTTCTTACATGCCCTGTTCTTCATTTGCTACATTATGTAGCCTTATAAAAGCATATCTATCTCACACTCCAGGCTCACTGACCTTTACATGATGCAGCAAAGTGCAAAGATCTCACCACACTGACGGTACAAGTTTCAGTCATGCGTTAGCTAATTTTCTCGTTAATGGCAATACTGAAAGGACTGAACATCACAGAACGTGTTGTTAGCACACTATGACACCTTATTTTATATGAGCTATTTGACATAGTTGACAGAAGAATGATCAAGACTCATACCAGGTAATCAACACCTGACATCATGAACCGCTGATGAAGGTTTTTGTATTTTTTTTAATGAAGTTCTTCTACTCTGTGAGAAACAGTTATAATCTCTGGAAGGTGATGTTCTCTGTTAATTCCTAATACCTGAAACGATCACTGGGAAAAATAAAAATAAGTCTAATTTTCATTTAAACTGAATATTAAATCTTTTTGGCTCAACATGACTTTCAGAGCTATTCACAATATTTAATCATATGTTACACAAGTAAAAAAAAATTTAAACAAATGAAGTGTTAATCATTTAAACTCTATCCTCATTGTCAATTTAAATAAGAAAACCCCAAGAGTTTAAAATGCCACTTGTACCCATCAGCTTGTTGATTTCAGAAATCTCATTAAAAGAAGAGATATTTCATAATCCATGTGTTGCATCCAATAAAAAAAACCCATTTGGTTTTTGGATGTTGTGCTTTCCGACAAAAATATTCGTCTAGTTTCTTACTGTCTGTGCATTTCTTTTTTTTTTTTTTAATGAAGATTGAATAACAAATTAAAACTAACATGGGTGATAAGATATTTCCTGTGTCTTTGCAAGTTTCACATTTTAAAAGTTAGTACATAATAAAAGTTATTTTTGCGTAATAGAAAAAAAAATATTTTACAGTTTGAGAAGGGACACTGTGATACTGTGAGATAGGTAACCCTTGCCTCAGTCTTAAACCAGTTTTATGGAATGAACACTGCATTTCTGAATTTGTGGATCTTTACATAACCCTCTTCACAATTGTTGGCACCTCTGGTAAAGAAGTATAAAAGAAATTAAAATATGTTTTTAAAATAAACCCGCCATAATCTAGCAGAAAAAAAACTATGTTGAGAAATAATGTCTTTCACAGAATCATCAGCGGTACAATCATTGGCGTCCCTGCTGTTAATACACTGCAAAACCCCTTTTTACCGATAGATCAGCACTTAATTCTCTCGTATAATGTTTCACAATATTGCACCTTACAGAAAGAGGATGTTTTTAGTCCTGGACCTTGTCTGAAGCTGCATCTTCTTCACTTCAATAGAAGTGAAGAAGATGCAGGGAGAAAACGAATTGTTTTCTACAACAATGAGTCCATCGCAGAAGGTCTATTTTGTGTCTGGGGAATCTCTTGTGCCCTGATTCAGCAAAATGTTTTGAATCGATAACCTTTTGAAACTCTGGATGATTTTTCTGGCATCTCAAAGAGTTCATGACTCCATTTAACTCTAGGACGGCTTCAAGAGCATTTTCAAAAGAAAGTGTAACAAAAGAATGTGAAGCAGTGAGCATGAGGTGCTTTTCCAAACATATTGTTTTTTTTTTTCCCTAGACACATCTGGAATATAGCTAAAAAGTTCAGTCTTGATCTATTAACCCTAAGAACAGTTCCAGAAAAAGTCCAGGTAGCATTTGGAAAACTGTACATCCCTACATTTATGATGGTGGAAGACATTTTTTCCTAGAATCACACCCGAATAACCAGATTTAGGGAGGCCAAGATGCCAATATTTGCTGCAGTGCTCGAGTAATGACTTCTTTTTTATTTCTTTTTAACAGCTACCTTACTTTGCATAACGGTAAAATAAGCTGGGGAGCTTATCCATCCTGGTGGCTAAATAAAATGTACGAGGGTGTCACATTAAATTTATATTCCAGGTAAATGGGAACAGTTTACTAATTAAAAGTTCTGAAACCATCCATTGTCTGAACTCTGCCTTTTCTTGTCAGGGTTTTAATTGGTTTCTTAGAGAAACCAATTAATCCAACAGGCATGTTTTTAGTGTGGAGTGAAGCTGGAGAGAACCTACGCTTTCGCAGGGAGAAACGTTTATGCAGAAAGACAAACGCCAGGATTCAACCTGCAGCTTGAGTCTAAAAATACTAAAACAATTAATATACGAAATAAAAGAAGAACATTTTAAGTTTCATAAAAATTGCTTAGAGTACAAATATCTACATAACAGACAAAAAAAATAAATAAATAACACTTTATTTCTCAACATGAGGTTTTTTTCCCCCTGGCTGTGTAAATGTCCACAAACTAAAGATAAATTATTTTCTGAAAGTCTTCAGTTAATGGTCCTATAATAAATTATTTATTTTAAGACATTTTCAACATCTTTAACAGCAGTGTCACTACTTGCAAAGGGAGCAGAACATATGATTAGGACCGCTGCCCATTTCCTGCTTGTTCTGATATGGAGATATTTGCCCTTTCTCACAATGTTTGACTTTACAGCATCTCTATAATTAGGTTAGGAGATCATGAGGGTGGTGTTGCACTGATAGCCACCGTTGCTTCCCTTGTTCTCAGAAATAGCTTAATGTGTTTGTGTTCACTGTTTGCAAGACTAAAAAGGCGGCCATAATTAAGATAAAACTAAAACATATTCTTTAGTTAATAGCTTTGTTCCACGTCTTGGTTTCTGTCAGGTTATTATTAAGCTGTCACCAAGCAACCCGGCTGCATGAGCAATAGCGTCAACATCCGGTCAGAGCTCAGCAGCTTCTCTGTTTTCATATTTTTCATGTTTTTTTTTTGTTTGTTTTGTTTTTTTTACTTGGTGTTTGGGTTTAAAAATCATTCTTAACCTCGTTTACTGTTAGGAGAGAAAAGTAAAAAAAAAAATAAATACAAATATTCATTTCACACAAACATCTGGCTCTACATAAAAATGCATTTTCTTTTATGTTTGAGGCTAATTTTCTCTAGTGTGTTATATCACACTGGTGTAATATTTTTACAAGCCGCAACCTTATACAGCTGATTAATTTTTTATACCAGTTTGTGTTTTTCACTAAGATACGAGCAACAAAACACATTTTTTTTCTTCACTACAAACAATGATATAGATCAGAGTCCTGGCAGGATGTTCTGGACGGATGTTTGTCTTGATGACTTTTTCTGTTTGAGGATTTCTCTCAAGATTTCTCCAGAGGAACTGAGAAGATATGTGTTTGCATGTGTGTTTCCTTTGTAGGAATGTAAGTGGCTTTATTTGTTTCAAAGAGCACCATTTTAAGAGTAATTCTATTCAGAGATATCTGTTCACTTTAAAGCGCCAGAAAAATCAGCATCTCAGAAATCAAAACAGACAACAACAATAAAGAGGCCTTTTTGAAGCCGTTTCCCACTCATGAGCTGCTGTACAAGTTGTTCTTCATGTTCCTGAAGGTCCATCGAGGGGTTTGATGTGTGAAGTTCGTCTTTTATTTTGTTGCGTTTTTGTCACAGATCAGGCACACTGCACACTGAAAGGATATGGCCACGTTGAGGGTGTTGTGATACGGTGATTACACGAGAACTGTTTCAGAGTTAACAATGGAAAGGTGTGCTTTGTGCGTTTGGTGGGTCAGTCTCCTTGTAACACCTCATGTCACACGGTTCCGTTCTCCTGCCTCGGTTTGTGGGTCGTCGTGCGAGTGGGCGTGCTCAAGGAGGGAGCCAGGGTGCAGAGGAAGCCAGCCAGCAATGTGAGGCCGAGGCCCCCCCAGGCACAAAACATGGACCAACCATAGCCGTGGCTAATGTCTTCAGGGAGGCCGTACATGTAGCGCGGGTAGCGGGACAACTCGAAGTTGATTCCTGCCACACATGTGCACAAGGAGATGATGCAACATGTTCCTGTGTGAGCAGAAGAGACCAAAAGTGACTTAAAGGGACTCCTGATGGATGCTAAAATTCCTTCATGCGCTGCAAGATCGCGTTGCTGCAAGATCGCGTTACTGCAAGCGATTGATCTGCTCGCTCATGTTAACCCCAATGTGCTCTCAGCTGTCACCAAATAAACACAGTAACTGGATGAAAATCGGATTCTGTCTGCATGCAAGTGTGTGGACGTGTGTATACGTGCTTTCACAGTACCTCCCATGAGAAAGAGTAGGCCGGCTACATATTGCATGAGGTCATGCTGCTGGCAGCATCCCAGCACGCCAATGATCCAACCAAAAAGAATGATGGACACGGCCATGCCCACAAAGCCGGCTGTCATCCTTCTTAGATCTGTAGGGGTAGAAATATTGCAGAGTCAGCGCTGACAGAGAGGTGTCGAAAAGAATTTCAAAACTTTAAAAGTTGGATTTAACTACTCATTTATCTTTACATGTTTAAAGTTTAATGTGCAAAGATCAAAAGAAAGAAGTGAACCATTGTTTTTTTGAGCGATTAAAATACCAGGTGTACAAAGACAAGCCAGAAAACATTGAATGTGCAAACATTGTGTAAATTCACGAGCAAAAAAAAGAAGAAAAACTAAAAACCTGAACACAAAAACCATGACTCATTCGATCTGAGGTCAAATAAATGTCACCAATTCATCTGACATACCAATGGCTTGACACTTCTAGAAATCTGAAACACTTTAAGACAAAACAACACACACAAAGAGGAAGAATCTGAAGAATAGAAAAATGCATTTTCTACAATGAACCAAATGCTTCTTTAGGAAGGGTGCAATCTTTTTCTTCACAATTGTAGAGCTTCATTGCAAATCTGGTATTTTTAAGCTTTCAGGAGGTTTCACTATGATGATCTAAAGGGACAGAAGGTTTTCTCATTATGTGTGCATGTATGTAGGTGACACCTACAAGCTAGTTTAGGTGTCAACTTCTGCTCTGCTGCTGCTTCATTTGTGATCCTTCACACACTTTGCAGAATATATGAAGCATGGTCTAACATTTTCGGTGGACTATTTAAGCTGCGAGGCATTCTGCTGCACTCTGCACATCATGTTCCGCCTGCCTGCCTGCCGGCCAGCCGGCCAGCCGCTACTGCTGCCAGCTTTTGCTTGTTTCCTCTCAACCCCTCCACCACCCCGTCATCCCCCTCGAGCTCCGAGGTCAGATATCCTCTCCTCACTTCCTGACATCTGGAAGACAAGTTTAGGAAGCAGAGATGTGCCCATCACTCTGTGACATGTTGAGTAGCATGGAGTGAAGAGACCGGAGCCGAGATACCAAATGCAAACTTCTATCTTTGGCTGATCAAGATTTATTTAAAGTTCAACAGAAGAGTTTTGTGACTGAAATGAAATACATGTCTTATCTTACTTATTCTTGATGTTGCGGTCGCTTGGAATCTCTGTTTTCTTTCTTCTATGCCTAGTGCCACAATAGTGCCACAATGATTGGTTAACCATCACTTGTTTCCACAGATTATTAGTCTTACCAATCTATCGAAGTTGATTCAGAGTCTGAACTGGAATCTAACAAATAATCGATCAGGGAGGCTAAAAATTAGGGTGATGGCAAGGAGAACTTCTGACCTCAAAGCCAAAGACATAGTCTTATTTCCACATCAGAAATTATTATTATTTTGGTTCAAGTAAAGCTATTTTAAATCTTTGCTGGGTGTATGAATAAAACCAAAAATACATGAAACTTGAAAGAAAAATGTTTCTATTGTTTTGTGTAATTGTACTGGATTTTCAGTGTGGTAAATTGCAATGTTGTGGGAATAAATACCAGAAATCATAATGGTTCAAAAAATTTCATTTTGGATGAACTATAATTGTGGTTCTATTAGAAAACAGCTGACCAAAATTGAGAGACATTCTCCAGCTACACCTCCACAATATCAGAGGAGCAAAACAACTTTTCCTTATTATGATTGGATGACATAAAATATAGATACAGGAAGAAAATTTAGTCCATGCAACAGCTTGACACTTCCTCTGAAAAAGTTATTGTTAATTGAGTTAACCTCTACAGTTGCTTGATAAAAAAATAAATGAAAAATTACATGGGTGCAACTCAATGCACATAGGCACCTGTTGAAGAAAAGGTTCTTCAAGTTACTCAAGCAAATGTAACTGAGTAAATGTAACCAGGAATTGGTTGCATTTACTTATGCAATTTTCAACTTTAATTTCATCCTTTCTGTCTTTCTTTTCTTAAAAACACATTACAAATGACAGAAAATACTTTTAAAAAGCTTTTATGTCCTTCATCCCCTTCTGGGAGTTGACCTGAATTCACAGTCCAACTAAATCCAAACTCTAAAATATGGGAACTTTCACTGTCCATCACTAACAATTCCTCTGTTGCAATAGTTTGAGCTCCCAAAGGCTGTGTCACTTATTCTGTTGCTTGGCCAAGTAGGTTTGTTCTTCCTTTGCTTCATTAAAGAATCATATGAACTGCCTAATCTGCCTGTATCAGCCTTTACTACCGCCGTCACTAAACAGAGCAATAAATATATATTTTTAAAGAAGTGGTCAACATGCTTTGCAAATGTGAGCAGTCATGATTATGCATGAACCGCGATAACATGACGGTTCATATTATCCGTCACATAGTTGATGGACTCAACTAATTTGTTACTAAACTAATTAAAATCTGTGGAGTTTGGCCTGTGGCAAAAAATTGTTATACTATACGTAATATAAATAAACGACCAAAATTAAAGACATTTTTTCTGTAAAATCAATTAAAATACTCTTAATGGGTAGCAATAAAGTAGGCATGAACACTTAAAATGGCTAAAATCACAAACAGGCATATCATATCAGGTCAACATGATGAGAACCTTGTCAACTTTCTGAAAGCAATCTATCCCGTTTAAACCTCAGAGAAGCTTGGAGAACTCCTTCAAAAATGTGTTGCATCTTTTGAAGGAAGCATCTTTTATGCTCAGAAAGGCCCTGCACAGGTGTGACCTACATAGGAGGCCTGCAAAAACAAAGCCTCTGATTTCTAAGGGAAACACAAAGGCCAAACTAAAGCTTTCCAGATAAAAAGTTGACAAAAAAGTTGACATCAGATTACATGTTTAGCATAATTCAAATTCAGCATTCCAGAAAATAACCTTCACTAAGTGAGAAGCATGGAGGTGCAAGTGTCACAACTTGGGGATGCTTTGTTTCAGTAATACTGGACAAGCTCACCATCATATAATTCAGAATCATAGCAACGTGCTAAATTGGATGCATCCCTGGCAATTTTAGGAATCACAGCTTTCAGTCAGCTCTGCTGCTGGCGGGTCACCTTTAGCCTTTAGGGCATATCTTTGAATTTTTTTCTCTTTGAGGTCAACTCTGACAGGTGCTTTACCACCATGAAAGCAATGGTTAACACATTTATCTTGTGTATTTCACAAACATTTTGCATAATACTATAAATTGAACAGTCTTGTGAAACTGGGTTGGTCTAAGGAATTTCATGAGGAACTATTTTTATTACGTATAAATGTATTAGATGTAATAAAGCATTTTTACATTGTTACAGTGATGATAAGGTAGATCATAGGTCTCCTTTGTGACAAAAGTTTTTTTTGTTCAGACGTTTTTACTCAAATAAACCACATGTGATGATTTAACTGCATTTCTTTATCTATATGTAAAGTTCATATTGCTGCCAATCATATAAGCTACACATGCTGAATACATCAGTGAGCAAATTGCCGCTATACATATTCCCTGACAAATAGACTGAGATAATCAGTGAATGAATAATTGACCTTCTGATTGGAGGACGGCTGATTTATTCCCTGAGCCACTAATTATTACAGCCGCCATCGCTGCTGTGAAACAAGAGGGAGGAGATAAGCTTTAAAATACTTAAAAGACAGCAAATTAAATGTTACTGAAAGTTTGATTTGTTTTCCAAGTTGTTCTTTTCAACAACTTGGAAAGAAAGCCATATGTCATAAATACGTGCAAAGCAAAACCAACAAGACTGGTCCCAGATCGTACTTGTAAATGCTTTGAAAAAACAGAGATTTCACATTTCGTCAAGCTCAAGAGATAAATGAGAAAAATATATGACATTTTTAGTCATTTTTCGATGACTAAAAGTGGCAAAACAGACAGAGAAAGACTATGAGACTTACGGAGCGCGTGCCACTCATCCTGGCGTATGGTCTTTGTGATGTTGATGGGTAAATTCCGTGGAAGGATGGACGAGGAATAGTGGTACTTGACCGGAGTACACCTTTGAATTACTCCTGGTGAAAAGACAAAATGAAGATGACAGTTATAATCAGAGCAGCAAGGTTTACTGAAGGAGAAAAAGAAGTTAGAATTGCATTTTAAACCTTTGCTCTTTTTTTCTGGGATGATGCGACGATGTGTGCACAGACATAGCATTTATTTTTCACCCTATCTGAGTTTTAATTTTTTCGAGCTGGGCCTTTTAACCTTGTTGTTCCCCACTCTAGCACAGTAATTAAAGAGGGATTAGGAAACAATGTGGTACATGGATTATACTCCCAAAGGTTTCATATGTAAATGTTATGATTTAAAGAGAATCTCATCATATTTTGTGCATGAATTTTGTTTTTTTTGGCTCCTTTCTAGCAGTTTCTGAGCAAATCAACAATAAAGACTCATTTATTGACATAAACTGGATTTTCTTTCAATCGTAGGTCTATGGCGACATAAACATTTGTATTACATTTCTTGAAGAATGCCACAATTCAGACAATCTTTCAATCTAAACACAACAAGAGATGCAGCTCTTTTGTTTACTGTATAGGATCTTTAAGGTTTTAGATGATAGCTCTTGGTAATGGCATACCAGGCTATAATCTGTCATGATGTGTCCTTATGTAAATAAAGAAAAGAAAACTAGAATATGACAAGAAAATTGTTGATGATGAAAATATGCTGACTTCCCTCCCCTCCTCATTTCACATCTACTCACAACCTCAGATCTGATACCACATGAATTGATGATATTGAAAGCATAAAATGAGCAAATAGATTTATATCAACCTCGCAGTGTTGGTTCATATAAATTACACCAAAATAGAAAGAAAGCATTTCAAGTTGGGATTTAAGTGATTAGTAAATGGGATTTGTCACTGCTGAAACTAACCTCTAAGATTCCCACTTCAAAAAGTCTAAGAAAACCTGAAAGACAATCCACGCTAATATTAATTTGGTAATTGTGTAATGTCTACAAACATTATGGTTTGATATGTGTTTGGGTTTTTGGGATGCTTCAACTAGAAGATGATTATAAATGTCTCCCCACTCCTTCACCCCTACATTTGTCAGTTCTATTAAAATAATCATTTTCAATTTCTGATATTATTTGATTTCATTATTTTCTAAAACTTTAAAATGTGAAAGTTTGAATGTCTTTTCACATTTTCACACATCACATTACTAGATATTTTGTTGCATATTTCAAGAAATAAAGTAGTATATGAAGGCATAGGCAATACGTACAAAGTAACCACTTGAAAACATTCATTGTTGATTTAAATGAGAGTTTGTCTATATTTGAGAATAAAACATCTTTAAATCACTTTGGAGTTGCTTTAAAATATTTCAATAATCTAGTGTCCTGACTCTGGCTGAATGCAGTATGGCTGAGTGTTGGGACAGTCACTTCTCATCAGGAAAGATTACTCCAATGCAGCTTCGATGTATGGAGTTTGGGATGATTGGATGTTAAAGTAGTCATTTGGAGCAGATTTTTCTTTACCATTCGTTATGTTCACCTTGTTTCAGGTGTGAAATTCAGCTAAGTGCAGAGTGAGCAGCATTCCTTGAAAGATGCGTACGTTGACATAAGGTTTTACTTCAGTGAAGCTTATTTTCTCTGCTGTAGCTGCAGAAAAACCTTGATGTTCCCAAAGGCCACAGATCAGTGATAGCTGGGAATCATCTTTGCTTTGTTGTGGTGTTGCTTTCTAAAGTTATAAAACTGCATTGTGCACTTAGTTCCGAACATAAACATTCTGTATGTGTTCAAGTACAAAACAGTGCTGTATTCAATCTGTGCACATGAATACTGACAATACAAAAGCATGTATTGTTACACCCCAACAGACAAGAACATAAAAATGTGTTTATTCTGAATGGGTAAAACCCAATTTTCAAGTTGTCTGCCAGATGTCAGCTCAAAGGGGCAGTATAATGTATTTTTCAGGCACATAAAGACATTTTATAGTATAACCTAGTAACTATGTTACCTTTAGTTGTTATAAAAATGCTGATATATCAAACATGACTTAAAAGAAACGTGACTTTGCAAATTAACGGTTTAAAATTGGGCCTCTGTCTCTAAGAAGTCCCTGCTCTTTCTGACACTGAGCCTTCATCACATCATCACAACAATGCTTCTCTATTAAGTTGTTTGCAACATTCTTTGGAGCGTTGCACTGAGAAGTAGTTCCGATGATGACCTCGGCAGATTCTCAGTTCCACCAGATGCTTGCTAATTGTTGCTGCCACTAGTCTGTAGGAGCTGAATGGGGGAGGGGTATTTTGTGAGGCAGAAGCTCTGCTTAAAGACGGCAGCTTTAAGCTGCATCTCCATTTAAAACAATAAACAAATATAAATGAATACTTTTCAACATTTAAACAATCAATACTGCAGTACTTTCTTTTTTTTTTTAACAAATAAGATTTTAAGAAAAATGTGTAAAATCCCACAATTTCAATCAGAACAAACCAAACAATATAAAGTATTTTAGAGTCTAAATCACCTTTATTTTCAACACCTGACTTTTTCAACACTACTCTATGATAAGAGCTGTTTTCTATCGTGTATTTTAGGTCCAAATTAACGTTCTACTCGGTAAGCAAAGATCTGACACAGAATCCCAATTAAGGTATTTTTAGCCATATTAGTTTGTGTGCATGAAGGCACACATGCTCGATTTAAACCTCAAACAAGATAACTAATGTTTGATATTTATGCATGTAAGTCAAAAACACACAATCAAATAAAGAGAAAATAGCAGTCTCTTACTTTCCTTTGGTAACTGGTTTAAGTGAATAATCTATGAACAAAATCAAATTACTTTGTCATCAGGGCTGCTACTTTCGCTTAGCAACAACTCAAATATGAAATGAGTGAAATGTGAATTTCCGATTCAGACACAGCTTTCAAATCAGAGATATAACATCTATTAGATTTGACTGCATAAAACATTTACATCCTGCACCATTAAAACCATCATAAATATTTTATGTTTAAAACAGAGGCCATTTTTTTAAAATCTGGGATTCCCCAATGAACTCACAGAGATTAGTATGTTTTAAAAAAACTGAGGCAAATAAAAATGAAATAACAAAACAATACTTTTTAAACAAGCTTAATTCATTGTAATGATTATTACGTAATAATTTCTCAACATTAATCGGAGAATTTAGGACAACTAAAAAAAGAGGTATAAGTGGTTGATACTTGACAAAATGAGTTGCTAGATGTGACAGTTTCATTATTGTTTCTTTTAGGTCGTTTTAAGGTCAACTGGTCAATAAGGGCTCATTTGCCACCACTCCAAACATTTCACAAGACAATAACACTGACAGCTGTTTCACTAGGAAACTCCATGTTGTTGTGCGAGTGCTCAGTTTTTGTAACTGACTGAATTGGACAAGGGGCACAATTAGATGAAACGCCATTTTTCATCTAATTGTGTCTCTAGAATCTAAACTGAATCAAGTTCCTGCACAGCATGTCACCTCAGGAGCTATACCATTATTACTAACAGACAAAAGATCAATAACAAAGAAAGCTGAGTCAATAAATGGATGGGGGATAATCTACTATGTATGCATGTGTATACAACACACACACACACACACACACACACACATACATATAGATAATGCTAGGCAGTGAAAAAGGTTCTTATTCTGTAGCAGTATGATTCTTTCAGCACCACGGACAGAGAACGATCACAACACGGAAACCTGTCAAGTGAAATATAATGTTTTAACGCGGAAACCCGTCACTGTGTGATGCATCTGGATCGTTCTGCTTCATGTCAGCTTAGGTGTGAGCTCATCGCCGAGAATCACGGCCTGCTGCACATCAACAGCCAGGTTCTCCATCACCCCCCTCCCTCTGTTTACCTTTGTAAATCAGGTCCTCGGTCTCCAGGTCGAATCCTTCCCGGTGACACTTCCTCCAGAGCCCGGAGACGGTGGAGTTGAACTGCCGGCTGCAGTGGGACTCCATTGAAGACGACGCGGGCAGAAAGTGCCGCTTCCCCCTGACGAGAGGGGCAGCGTCTGGGCCGGTTTTTGGAGGCATCTGGAGGGGGAGGTTATGGTTTGAGATGTAGATGTAACCGGGGTCGTTCCGCTTGTTGGCATAGTTTTTGCACCTCTCTCGGTGTCTCCTGGCGTCGGTCTCGTACCAGTAGTCGGTGCAGATCGCCATGGCGAGGAGACCCAGCGCGCAAAAAGCCAAGAAAAGCCCGGCGCTGGTTAATATTTTCATAGCGGCCATCTTCCTTCGCTCGGTGGAGAGCCCAAACAGTGGCAAGAAGGTTCCTCCGTGGCCGTGGTGCTGATGGTTTTGGCTGGTACCGGCGTGAAACAGTTCACGACGGCACTGAGAGCTTCCTGCAGTCCTTCGCCGGGAGCATGACGCTGCAAGGCCGTGACGGGCTGGACGGGATGCTGCGGTCTATTGTTGTGGTGCCCGGTGCATGAAATGTTGTTCCCACCATCTGTTATGGTACAGGAGGAGGAGGAGAGGGGATGGATGGCAACCAACCCTGTGAGGAGGAGGCAGGGGAGGTGATGCAGTTGCGCTGTCTCTCCTCCAGGTTGCTGAGGGATGGGGAGCGGACAGAAATATGTTCTCCTTTTGAGGGGAGAGTGGTGACTCTTAGGCGTCGACGAGCGTCTTTTTCATTTTTTGCAAATGTATAAAAACCGACGTTTATGTGTGTGTATGTGCCGTTTTAATATTTAAACCTATGTTGGAAATGAATAGCCACACAATAAATAGCATAAAAACTAGTGCAGTTTATTTTAGTCGTCTGTGGTGATTATTTTACACCATTTTTTATGTTTAAAAAAATAATAATTTTAATGACTGTTTGAAGGAAACAAAGGGAAAATCTATTTTTTCTGCCCCTAAAAGTCATCCTAAATTTGTGGTTTCTTTTTTCAGAGTGGAATGATAATATAAAAACCTTTGATATATTTTAAAAATTAAAAAATGTGTGCACACATGGTATTGAGCACAATAATTTTTAGTTAAAATCTCCAACCTCCAACCTTAGCAAGCACACAGTTTTTCATCAACCCGGTTTGGATTGACCAGTCAAATAAATGAGGTTTATCTTATTTTCATAATCTGAATTAGTGGGAGCAGCCCCAGAATTGAACCAGCATCATGTGACGTTTGCCTTAATGATAAACTACAAATTTGCTATTGTAGATCAAATAAACTTCTGAGACAATTAGAAATAAGAAGTCTTGAAAAAACTTATTCAAATGACAGAGTCTGAAAATACAAGTTTGTCTCAAGAATCTGTAAATGACGTTAAAAAATAGTGCTGCAAAATGTTCTTCACAACAATATTCATGTTTCAACCTTCCCCCATCCTTAAGTATACTGTCAAAGACAGCAGAGAAATACATTAGGGATCACAAATGTACATTTACACTCAATTTCATATTTACAACTTTGGAGTATTCATACTATTTCTTCTTTTTTAGCATTTTTTTCATTTTACAACCAACCACTTTATAGTATTTATGAGGTTTTATGATATATAATAACACAACGGAGAACAAATTTAGAAAAGTTATTAATAAAGTTATTTACAAATGAAAATATTGGACAAGTTCAGCATGCATCAGCCTCTTTTACAAACAGGAAATGACCTTCAGAAGTTAGATAATAGTAAATGTACCTGAGTGAAAGTTATAAATGAAGCTGCTTTCCAAAGGAGGCGGAGGAAAACATTATGAAGACCAAGGAGTGTCACAAGACATGCAATTTAAATATCTTAGAATGTTTTAAAGCAGGCTATTGTTATATAAATAATATCCGAGCTTTGAATGTATCACACAGCACAGCTCCACTTACATGAGGAGTACAGTGCAACTTCCTACTGACCAGACGTGGATGTAAAACTGGGAGTCCGGATGAGGTCAGAATTAATCTGAGAAACAAGAGAGGCTCATGGGAACTCTGGAGGAACTGCAGACAGGAAAACAGTGGAAAGATCTGTTGACTAAACATCTGCTACTGATAGACTATGGAGTGTTGTGGAATTTCTTTCCACACTTACTGATTGTTTTTTGTGTGTGGATTATTTTGAAAAGTATTCATTGTTTTCCTTTGACTGTAAGTTATGCACTGCATACATAAGATTCCAATAAATAGATTGAAGTTTGTAACATTAGAAAATGTGAAATGGTTCAAGAGATACAAAAGTTTTTTCATGGATTCTCACAAGAGTTGTTTACAGAATTTCAGATGTGGGCAGACAGCCAGGTGAAGTCAGTACAGACAATTTGGTGGATTTTACATTTTTATCTTCTTTGGATTATTTGGCAAAAGTTAACCTTTATCAACCCTCTCTCATACCTTGTCTGATTTGGAGTAATATAACTGTAAACTAGATTAATTAATTTATGATTTTATGCAAATATATTTGACCAAAAGTTAACTCATCCATCCTTCAATTTGAGCAAAGAGTGAATCAGTATCTGGAGAGCTAATTATCTGAATGTTCATGTTTTTGTGGTATGGTTACAAGAAGATAAGTGTTCATGCTGGCAGAAACCTACAGGATCCTGTTGATGAATGGGTTCAATTGCTTAGCGTACTCCTGGTTGACGCTTTGCTCAGGACTTACGCAAGCTGAGTGTGTGCCTGTTTCACATCAATGTAAAATCTGAATCCAGGACTTTTAATTCTTAGAGTAAACGGTGACATAAGAACGGGAATGTACCATCTGCCTCCGCATTTACGGTTTCCTGCTCTAGGCCTTCCTCTGCAGTGCAAGTGGTGATAGTTGTTTTTATGTGCTGTGACTGAAGAAGGCTTCCACAGACATTAAGCTGCTCAAAGCCTGATGACTAAGGAAGGCGACCTGCTGCTGAGTCGTTATGGCATTATAAGCTTGCCAGATACACTGCTGAAACTGGAAATGTGTGAACACAGAGTCATTGCCCCCTCCCCCTTTCTTCCATATGACAATTTATCACCCTTTGCAGTAGGATTATTCCAACAGTGAACATGTTAATGCCGAAAGGTCCATGTGACACCATGAACTATCCCACTGTATCTTTATTCAAATCCAACCATATATTTTTCCAAACGCAGTCATTCCAGAGTAAAAGGAGACACTGCTCATCTTAAGCTATAAACAGGAAAGACGACCCAAAACCTGGACAGGTCACCAGTTTACAGGGAAAATAACCTCACTTGCACCTCAGGGCAATTTTGAATGACCTGCCAACACCGTGAGTGGCGCGAGAAAGCTGGTGTGAATGCATGCATACCAGGAACATGCAAACTGTACACAAAAAGGAACATATAAATAAATACTAGACTTAAAGTCTGCCATCAGCATAATGAATTTTACCTACTTGTTGGGTCCCAAAATACTAATGCTGAAATTCCATGCTTTTCCAGTTAATATTTTCAGAGGTGCTTTCAACTATAAATACAAATGTTTACTATGAAATTACTTAAAATATTTCTATACCAATTTTCAGGCTTCATAACTAAAAGCTACAAAAACTTCCTATAAATTGGATGGCCGGAGAAAAAAAACAATGAATAAAGACATGGAAGCTGATGAGAGATTGAGAAATGGATGAATGAATTGACAGGTCAACAAATGATAGATAAAATAAGAGATGAATGAATTAAAGGAAATACAGATGGACAGTTAGGCATTGGAAAAGGAAAAAGTCAGTAAGAGATATTGTTTTTATTATCATTTTTATCTGGACCCATAAAACTTTTTCCCCCCAAATTACATATTTTGAAATCTGTGTAGGAACCCTGCAGTTATTTACATCATATTTTCTTCAAAATATAAAAAACAATCCTTTTGAAACAGTTGTCTATAATTTAAAGTTTATTTCTTCAAAGGTCTTTCAAAACATGTATCATTCCCTGTTCTCAACTTTCTAAAAGCTATCTTCAGTCTCCCAGAAATAGCTAGTAACAAGAATTTAATGAAATTTAAGCTTTAAGAAATAACATCAATGTATTCTCATTAAATGTTACTAGAAGCAGTTCTTCATGATGAATGCTGTGTGAGGAGCACAAGCTCAAAATGTTCAGGTTACACTGTGTGTGAAAGGCAAACAGATAAAAGTTCTTTGGTAGAAAATAATACAACACAAAACAAGGATTGATTAAACAGTTTTCAATTTCAATAAATATTCAGAAGCTACATAAAAACTGTTAGCAAACAGTTTTAACAGAATGAAAAAACAAAACATCAGTTGAGTTTCTGCTCAGGGCTAGAAACACCTCTTTTATTATGTTAGTAATGAGATTGTATGTCATGTGTACCTGGTTTTAAATGTATGTGCAAAGCATCGTGATTGTCTAAAAAACAATTTGGCAACAGATTTCCAAACAGACCTTTTTCTGATTCCGGATAATTAAGTACAGCACATTTCAAAGTGTCCAACTTCTTGTCTTCTGATCATGACAGTCTTCCTTTCAGTTATCCCTAAATAAAGTGCAGGTCCTTGTCAGATATTTGCTTTAATGTTTCTTGGCTGTGATGCCAGAAATCTCCTCGTCAGTATATTTCTGTGAATGAGAGGCTGGTGGGGAAGACGGTTCCTATCCAGTAGTAGTGTTTAAGGCAAGAGAGTGTTCTCCTCCCACGGTCACTCGACAATGGCTGAGAGCAAAGCCATGGTACCCACCCCAGAGACGATGAGCAGGATTTGTAACAAGGAATGTCTAGAAAAAAAAAAAAGATGATTTAGAAAGGTATTAACTAACATATTTTCCAGACTAAATCATACCGTTTTTCATAGTTTGGAAGGTTCTGTGGTTTATAGTCTGGTGTGTTTTTTTTTTTTTTTTCTCTACATGACACATTTTTTAACTGATGGTTACATGTAAATTTGTACTGATAAGACATGAGCCAAGGGTTAAACATTACAGTCTGCAGCTGAGAGGAAAACTAAACGTGTGCTGAACCTGAGCTGGAGGAACTAGTCCAGAGTTTGGTACTTTAAAACTTGCTGCTAGAAGAGGCTGCAGACGATGAATAAAAATGACTTTGGAAGAGGAAATCCCTGGTGTTGCTGCTTTATGCAACACAACTGCTGCTCCATAACCCCAGATTCACATTGGATGCTCCTCTCCACCGGTAAAGAGCTCAGTGGAGTCGTTCCTGACCACTCTGATTTAGAGAATGGACGCTGGCAAGTCAGAAACTGCGAGCAGACTTTCAAGTCATGATTAAGTACGTTGAAAATCAGGTAACTGAACCAGATCGTCAACATGGAATAGGTCCCCCTCAGATTTGACAAGCACTAAATACATGTGACTTATTCTCCAGTGCTCTTTAATATACTTTCCTGTCTGATCATTCTCCAATAAAGGCCACTAGAGTCAATAAAATCTTTAAAAATAAAAATTAAAAGCAAAAAAAAAAAAAAAAAATGCAATCCTGGCACATTTTTCAAATGTAGAAGACTTTTTTTGGCTGAATAATTCAAAAGCCTCCAGTTGTGTAAAAGGGTAATTTGTCTTGAAAAAGAAACTGGACTGAAATGTGTAACAAAAACACAAACATGGTCTTAATATACAAACAAAGCTGCATCTCAAAAGCATAAAAAAACACTGATTAAGATTAATAGAACAAATAAAATCTGGCTCCTTGAGGGATAAATATAAAGAAATTAATAAGGAATTAGAAATAAAAAAAATTGGACATCTCTGTATGGATTCATTTTAAGTTCGTGTTTACCTTAAACTGGACTCCTGTAGCAGGTCAGGCACAACATTAACCAAGGCAATGTAGAGGAAACCCCCCGCAGTGAAAGGCAGAATCCAGCGAGAGGAGTTTTCTTCAAAAACAACAAAAATCTTCATGAATAAACTAATCAAATTTACATAATTTCCAGCTCATAACATATTTTGCTGTGTGTAAAATAATCTTATACTACCTGCATCTTTGGGGGACTGAGCATAGAGGGCAAAACAAGCTCCTAAGACCCCAACCAGAGCTGTGGATATCTGCATCTGGGCGGCACTCCAGCGATCGAACCCGGCTCGCAGCAGAATGGCAAAGTCTCCCACCTGTGGGAGACGACATTTCTCTCAACACAGAAAAAGCTAAACAACAACTGTGCTTACAAAGACTCCGGTAGCCAGATATGTTATAAAGCTCCAAGATATGCAAACAATTTATTTCCTAATGAAAACATTGAAGAATCGTTATAATTAACCTCGTGAGGGATTTCATGAAGCAGGATAGCAAAGGTGGTGAGGAATCCAACCTGGCAGATAGAAAACACAAATGTTCAAAATCTGTTTTTTGTAACACAGAAGAATGATGAGAAAATGCCTCAAAAGTTAAAAAAGTAAGACAAGTAAAAGAAGGTAAAAGGTTAATTTATATCATTTAGTTTAAGCCATTTGCAGCTAATTTTGTAGCACAAAAGGCCATTTGCTTATTTTAAGCGGTTCTAACAAACAAATACGAATAAGAGTTTAGAAAGTGTATAACTGTAAGTTCTTTATTTATATTTTATTTAAAAATTATTTTTCTTTACTTCTTTTGAATATTTCAATAAGACAAGTGTGACAAACACAACATGAGTAAACAAAAAATGCTGGTAAAGTCTTGCATGTGCATGTTTGAAATATCTAGTCAACTTCCTTTCTGGCACAATGATCAATTCTTCATGCTGTTAACCTTCTGTCTCTCCAGCTGGACTCTTGTCCCAGAACTGCAGATACACGGTAACCTACTGAAGCGGCACAAATCCATGTTTCTGGAGTTTAAAATGCACCTCTTAAAAAAGCTTGTTTTAGAAAAAAAGAAACAGACAGAATATGAATATCTTTTGCGTCTTTAAACAATCGCTCAGTCAGTGAGGTTTATAATTAGATGGCCAGGTTTATAACAGCTTAAATAAATATAACTTAGAGTAATGCCTTTCATCTTTTTATTATTTTGCTGCATTAGATCAATTTGGACCTTTTCGCACATCAGTCATTGGCGTCGTTTTCCCCTCTTTAGTCAGTCAGATTGGAGCATAAAATCTTTTTACTCCACACACATTGAGGTTTTTTAAACTTTCACAGCTAGTTAGTGTCTTTTTGTGCATTTTCTGCACTAATGATCAACTTATGACTTTTCAGAATCAGCTACTTTTGGATTATTTGACCCAGGGTAATGAAGCCGCCTCTCCCACACAAAAATGCATATAAAATAAATAAACCTGGTGAGCTTTGCGCTGACACGGCTTAAAATACTAACATTTACAGGGGTGATGAAACACTGTGAAATAAAATCCTACCTTCTTGCTCACTGAGAAGCTTCCAGCTACTGCCAGTCCATGGGTGAAGTTATCAATGCAGTTGGCGAGAAGGTTTAGGTATCCACTTGTCTGTAACACATGGATGAAAAACTGTCCAATTTAAAGAAGAAAAAAAATGGTGCATTTTCTCTTTAGTACCTCATGCTAAGAATCAGCCTAAAATGAGATTTTAACAATATCAGATAAACATATCTTGAATACTCACAAAAAACTGTTACTCATCTTTTTACACAATGAATTAATTGTTATTAAATGTCTTTAGCCACGTTCTCAGGCTAAGCTATATAAACACAGGCTTGCTTACTGCGTGGGTTGTAGTTGGAATAAATTACTTGAATAGAAGCTGTCTGACCAAATGAATCAGGCAACAAAATGTACAAAGTAACACGTAATGCCTCGACTTGAAATAAAATCAAGAAAATACTTGCGAAACATTCTGGAAAGAGTTACAAAATAATTTCTTAAGGTTTTGGGACTCCACTGACAAACAATGACAGTGATTGTCCACACATGGAGAAAATAAGGGACAGAGGCCACCATTGACCAGCCAACCAAAATTACTCAGACAGTACAAACAACAAACCAGTGATTTCACGAAGCAACCATTTTGAAACACTAAGGAATCCAGCTAAACTCTGTGCTCATAAAATTGCAAAAGATGACAAAAGATGGCAAAGATGACATCCATGAAACTGCTAACCAAAATAAATTTGACACCTATTTCACGTTTGCCAGAACTTGTTTCTGACTAATAACTTTTGGAAAAATATTCTGCAAATTGATGAGACAAAGTATTTTTTGGGAAAGTGTGTACCTCTACATGGAATAAAGAATTAAAAAAAGAAAATAACATGACTAAAGTCAAGCATAGGCATGATGCTTGACTACAGCAAGCATCTATAGTCAAGCAGTGATGGTTTGGAGCTGCTTTGTTTCTTCTAAAGCTCAATAGTTGGCTGCCATTGATAAAACTCTCAATGCTGAGAAAGTCGTCATTCAGTGGTCATTCAGTCCACCACTGAATGACGCAAGAGAATGAAAGTTTTATAGTCGTCTAGTCAAAGTCAGAACTTAAATCCGATTCAGAAGATGTTCATTTTAAAAAAAGAACATTTTGATATGGCTGAATTAAAAATACTTTACAAAAAATAGTGGGGAAATTTATTTTACATCCAAACTGATGTAAAAGACTCATTACCACCTACTACAAAATCTTGATGTCAATTGCTGTTTAGAAAAAAGCAGTAAACAGATACAAGAAGCTGAGGGGAGGTTGCTTTTCCACATCGAGAGGAAGGTGGTTTTGGCAGCTTTTTTCTCCTTAAAATATGGAAATTGTCATTTGGCATCTACATTTTATATTTACTGATGTTATTTGTCTCGTAGATAAAAAATTATTTCACAATCTGAAATATTTTTTAAAAATCTGTGAGAGGGGACATAGTGTTTTTATTGCCTGTACTTCCATATTGCTGTTTGGTCAGGCAAAATTAATTAATAAATACAAGCATTTTTAAAAGCAATAGCCAACTTCCCTGTTCCATCATTTAGAAACCACTTATGTTGTCATTTGGGCTGAAGCTCAAATAAAGCCAGAGGGAAATAACCTGCGGTCCTCCGGTTGCCACAAGGAAATGTTTGCTCCATCTCAGTGACTGAAGCATGAGGAAGTAATGAAGTGTGATGAATTTTATGGCTAGTAATGTCCTCCAAGTTTTGGGAGCTAAATTTCCAATCCAGAGCACTGTGCAAGTTTTGTGTAAAAACAATGCATCGATGCAAAACACTGGCATGATTCACTAAAAAATATATTCACCTTGTTACTGTTCTTGCAATGCTTAACGTTTTAGGAGGACACACTGTTAGCTTCCCCCTTTGCTGTAAATCTCAGCCCATGTCTATTGTTGCCTCTGCCTAAAAGTGGTGTTCTCCTGTGGACAGCGAAATGGCTGAAGCAGCTGCTTCAGCCCCTGCACTAAAAATAGACACAAGGAGAGGAGCTGAGACGTGGATTCCAATCTTCTCCCTCACTGGCATTAGAAAGACATGGTGGAATGTGTATTCTGCTTCTACACACATACAGAACAAGGCTTTTTTACAGAGCTAGCATTAACTATTTTACTTTATAAAAAATAAAATAATAAAATGTGCATAAAATGCATACACTTTAATAATTAGTACGCCCATGCTTGTATGTATATCAAACATGGCATCTCATCTCTGTGTGAAACCAAATACAAATATGAACAGCTGTTTCAAATCTGTGAGCTGCAAATACAATATGTTTGAGGGTTAAGTGGCTCTTTGATAAATGCATTTCTTTTGCTTTTAGCCTTTTGACTGAACGACAGGATTGAAGAAGATGATTCACCTGGGTAAATATACACACAGAGTGAGCAACCATGCACAATGAAAATATAGGAGCAGCCTGTCTTTATTCATTTGTAATACAACCCTAAATAAAAAGATAAAACGCTGCTTTGCTCATTTTTAAGAAGGCAGGAGGCTAAACATTAAACTGACACTGGCTTTTTGAATCATATATAAGGCAAGCAAGAAAAATCAATAGGGATTTATTCCCAAATGTGTAGCTGCTGCTGTAAACTCCCGGGTGTGCTACGGGTCATCTGATACGACAGTCGTCAAAACAAAACTGACAGATGTGCAGACTAAGCATCATAGCATCTGCACAGAGAATGCCAACAAAGGGAAATGTGTGAAGGCTTGTATCGACATGCGAGGCTGAAAGTAATGACAGAAATACTTACAGACAGTTTGAAATTTGAAGGGGCATCCTCCAGGCTGTCTTCATCTGGAAACATTTTCTCCAGCAGGTGGAAGGCAAACAGACCAATGAGTACCCACAAGCCCTGGGTCATGTAGTGTTTGTGTTTACTAACTGGAAAGACAGCACAGAGTGTAAATATGTGGGCATGAGATGTACATGAGAGATCTGGTGATGCAGCCAACAAACTGCTTCTAAAAACTGCCACAGACCTGAATGAAGAAATGTATAAATGCCATTTTCTTTTTTTAATGAACCAGTATTTTTTCTTACAAGAGGGATTTCTTGTTAGAGCATGAATATATTTATGAAACCTCTCACTCTGAGACCCACCTCGAGGGCCAGAGAGCGCCCACGCTTCAGGAAGGAGGTGAAGAAACACGTCACCAAGGAGACCACCAATAGCAAAGCTCAAGAGCTGCTTCAGCTTCTGACATCCAGCTGGCAAAGAAACAAGGTACCAATTATGACAAGGTTTGATTAACAACAACCTCTGTGCTGTTTTAGGTTTAAACACAGTTTATGATAAGCTTAAAAACAGCATCAAAAAAGATTGTGATAAATTAGCATCTCTTTTCAGCCCGGCTGTTGTCATTTCAACATATGAGGCACTTAAATGCACAGTAGCATCTCTGGCATTACCTATAATAACACTTCACGGAAACTTTAACCTTGGAGTGGCTGCATTTCTCAGCCCTCGGCCTAAAATACTTCTGGAATGCCACGTTAGCGTGGGTGGGGCCTGTCAAAACTTGCAGCCCTTTCGTTCACCCAAAGTGACTTTGGTAGGGTCACAGAGTACAAGGAAAGTGTACAGTAGATCATCAGAATCATTTAGAAGTTACAAGTCTGTATTAAGCTGGATATATAAACTATTACATGCAGATATTTTCTGTACGCAAACTCATGTTTAGAAGGAATGATCAAGTATCATCAATAAGCAAGGATTGCAATAAATGGTATATGTATTCATAAAAAAGCAAAGTCTCAAAGAGGTAAGTAATTCTCAAAGAAAAATATGATGTTAAATACAAAACTTGAGATAAACTAAACTCAATGGCTCCAGCAAATAGACATTTAACTTGGTGCACCATTGTGTTTGAATCTAGCCTCATAGAAGAAGTTTAAAAGAGTCTTGTTTTTTTTCTATGTTGTTGCACTTGGCAGCTGAAGCTCTTCTCACTCAGAACAGGAAACTCTTTACTGTAAATAGGAATCTTAAAAAAAGAAAAAATAGCTGTGAATTTGCATCATTGCACACTATAATTGTTTAGAAAACATGCAGCTGCGTTCACATTTGGGCTCTGCTGAGAGTTCACTTCGCACTGTCTGATATAGGAAGACTTGAAAATTTAGGATGCAGCTGCCTGCTTTCCACCAGAAACATCTGTTGATCCCAATGGAAAAAAAAAACTCTCTCTAGTGTGGAGATGAGTTTCATCACAAGGCTATTCAATTGTAAAACATGGATGGGAGAAAAAAGATGAAACTACTATTTGTAAAATCTTACACCTTTAAGAAATTAATAATAGTAATTAGGAAACATTAAAATGTATGAGTTATTGCAAATTGTCATTTCTGAATAATTGTAGTGGATATGAACGGCTTCTTATAGCAGCTCTATAGCAAGACAGGAGAAACTAAAAAAGCTGCTTCTTTTGCTTTTTTGACAGATTCTCTAAACTAGTGAATCTGTCAACCAGTTCAGAGACACATTAGAAGTCTGGATTATATTATTACATTTCTGCAACCATGGATTTCTCATTTTCCAGATGTGTGAACCAGCAGCCCAGTTTACTCCATTTTCTGGCAGTGTTTCCATGTTTACAAGAAAGATAGAAAGAAGAAGTAAGCCTGATCACACTTCCCTCCCCCTCTTGCTCCAATCCTTCCTATTTTGGGGGGAATTTGGACTCCTTATAACAGGAATTCAGAAATCTGCTGGTTCTGCATATAAAAAATATCCCTAACATTGAATAATTCCCTGACCCATATAACGGACGCTAAAAAATGCTAACTAAAATCACGCAGGTGTCACAGCATCCAAACAGGTTAAAGAGAAGCAACAGAGCATCTTGGGAAGATTATTTTACAACATCTTTATGCAATTAAATTGATAACAAAAACCGGAACATTTCTTTAGGTTGCTACAGACATTTCAATCTGAACACTTCTGCTTTCAAAATAAAAAACGTTTTTCCCAGTTTGGCAAGAATCTGAGTTCAATCTGAGTTAACGGTGGAAAAAAAAAAACAACTTAACGTCTAAAGCTTAATTTGAACTAAACAAAAAAAAAAAAACTGTTGCGAATAATTTGAGTCATGGTTAAGCTGATTCCTACCTTCAGTTTTGAGGGCAGTTCCTGCTTCAATAGGAATAACAAGCAGAGGGAAAACCCCACTGAGGCCCACAGCGACTGAACCCACCAGGGACAGGAGCCATACATGCGTGTGTTCACTGGTTAAAAAGTCTGTGACTGCCTGCAGGCCTGGGAGGTCATCTGCCAGACTGGGGCTCGGTCCCGCAGCTGTAGCCGTCGCATGAGCCATAGAGGTTTGTGTCATCTTCTGGCTGCTTGATGCTCCCCTGGAGGTGAGCATCAGCAGAGCAGCAGGGACAAAAAGAGCAGCGACAGCCCAGCTGGGCCTCCAACAGCCTCCACCTTTCATCCGTCTTTCAGCCAAAAAAGCACTTGGAGCCTGTGATGCTATAACAAGAGAGAAGATATGACAAAAAAAAAATATCGTTTCAAATGTCTAAACATTAAGAATGATTGTGTCATGTTTGTCCTCCTACAAAACCATATTAAAACAAAAAATATATTTCCCACCCCAATCTTTTCCCACTTTCAAACATGTTTGAAAAAGCTCTAGAGAGCCACTAGGGCAGCGCTAAAGGGCTGCGGGTTGCTAACCCCTGTTCTGGACACATAAAAAGCAAAAGCAGTTTCTCATTTCAACAATCGCCTTGATCTTGTGCTTTGAGCGTTCTGCAGGTGTACGTCCATAAATAGAGCCGGATCTCCTTATCGCATTAAAATGCAAACCACTTGTTTGCTGCAGCCAAAAAAAATGAAAAAGACAATATTTTCAGTGAAAATAGATTCAGCTGGATATCTGATGATGTACAAGCCAGGGATCTGGTTGTTTGCAACAAACTCTTGGATTTTCCAGCAGTACGCTCGGAGCTCACAGTTTACTCCAACCAGATGAAATCTCTGGAATTCAGAGAAAGTTAAAGAAAACTACAAGCATGTCTCTGGTTTCTTCATTGATCTGACATAATCAATGTCAGATCAATGATCATGTCAGACAAATGATATGATCATTGATCTTACATCAATGACATGATCATTGATGTAGGATCAATGATCATGTCAGACAGGTGACATGATCATTGATCTCACATCAATGATCATGTCAGAGCCTCTTCCACTGAAGAATGTTTTTGCTTTCTTTGTGGCTCTTTCAGATCAAACTGGTTGCATCTACCAGCTACCAAATCTGCCTCCAAATCCCCAGTTTACAAAAGAATAAAAAATAAAATGATAATAAAAATGGATTCAATCATTTCTACTCGCGTAATCATTTCTCGTGTACATTCTATACCTGCTGAATGTTTCTTGTTTCAGATTTTAGAATCAAACCGTTTTAAATGAGTTAGTGGGGTTTGTAAAAATGATCAAAATGTTTAGGTAAATTTAAAAATAGTTAATTGACAGAAAAATGGAAGCACACAATGACATATTAAGGATAAGCGATTACAATTATATGATAACTGTATGCAAGAATCACAAACTGGTAAAAGCTTTCATAAAAGATTATTAACACGTTAGGTGCTACTGTTTTGTCAAACAGGGAAGTTTAACAAAAGCTGACTTGTTTCATTCCTATTGGTTTTGCCCTATTTAAGGAAGTCAAACTACTATAGTGATGTTTTTTTTTGCTCTTAACAAACAGGTTATAGCTACATTTAAAAGCATAGATATAACCTCAGTTTACAATGGGAGGCATTTTTTTTCTTTTTAATATGGCAGAAAAGAAATCCTCATTATGAGCTGTGTTTTTGCTGTGAATGTTGAAAACAACAACAGAAATCCAAATGATGATTTTCAGTGAGAGCTTCAAAGCACGGCAGGAATGCTGCCAGCTAAGCAAATACGTCAATCCATCACTTATTGATCAGAACTGACCCATATTCAGGAGGATCATAACTTGCGATTTATTTAAAAAAATCATTCAACATCAGCTCTTAAATTGGTCAACTGGCTGCCATTCATAAAAACCCGAATCCACTTGTTTCGGGTTGAGAAGAAGTGAGACTATCATGCCACCTTTAATCTTGAGTGTTATTTAAGAAGCCCGTTTATGATGACACAATATGTAAAAAGTTAGACAACATCCCTCGAAATGGAATCTGTTCAAGTACTTTTTAAAATAGAAATCTCTGTAGTTGGAATTTGCTTGATTTTTTTCTGGTTTGTTTTTAGTGGAATAACAGTAAATTGGAGAGCAAATAAACTTGCAACTGTTTTTTGGGCATTTTAAATAGTCACGAACAGACGCTGACCTCAATTTAAATAGTACATTATGTACATTCTCAAACATTAACAAGTATCACACTAGCTACAGCTAATTTGGCTGTAGAAGTAACATCATCTCGACGGACATTTTAAACCCCCTACGGCCTTTCTACATTTTGTTGAGTTTTATCATAAAATAACCATGAAACAAATATTTTCAGTTTTCTTCCCACTAGCACTACTTAATTAATAGAAATGTTACATTGAATGATGCTGATGATTTTTTTGGCATAGATATTAGGAAGTCTAAAACTGCAGAACTTAACAAGACCTTGAGCAGAAGTTGGGAGTTTGGAGAAGGAAAGTTAGAGGCTTCCCCGCCAAATTCAACCTAAAAATCCAAAACAGCAGTCTTGCTTTTTACAACTTGACAGATATGGCAAGCAAACTTTGTCTTCACACTTCAGACAGCTCGTATCTCCTTAAATCTTTCACAAACTCTGAGCCGTGAATCCTCCAAATGTGAACGTCTGTGCATACAAAAACAGCAACATATAAAAAAAAAAAAACAGTGACATTAGGGATGATGACATCACTCCCAGATCCAAGGTCCACGTTTAGAGGCAATTGATATGTAGCACAAGTTAATCAGCATTCATTGAGGGCTTCCTGGCTGTCTGGCTGGGAGCCCCCACAATTTAACAGACACCACTTCTCTTAAAAGAAGATCTGCTTCTGCTTCTCAGTGGTCACTAGCTGTACAGCCCAAATATACATATTTTTTTAGTACTTAACTTTGCCAAAAAAAAAACGATTTTCCTCTACAAGCACCAATCATCGCCCCCTAACATGTCAGTTACCGTAGCAACCAAACAAACATGGACAAAAAACTCATTTATTTGTTTAAGCTGTTCTCAGAGTAACAGAATCTGTGCAGCAAAGGAGACTTCTGAACCTATTATTGACGGTCAACCTTTAAAAAAAAAAACATGAGTAAAGTTGAGGCAGACAGAAAGCTCCAGAAGGAGCAGACTTCCAGACGGACTTCCTCTTTGGCGCATGGCGGTTATTTATCATTGTTTCCGTTACTCGTTTCAGAGCGTCTGGCCAGCTGAGGCGACTACCTTTATTTTAACTTATTGGATGTAAAAAACGGACGCAAATGAGACGCTAAACAATACGTCTGAGAGTTAGCGAAAACACGTGTTGGTCGAAAACAGTTGGGCTGGGAAAAACTTGGGACGCCATGACGCTGAAAGAAAGTGATGTGAACTGGGTGAATAACGCGCAGTAACCAGCCCTGGCGTCTGCAGCTCGGAGTTAGCAGGCTAACAGCGGCTAGCAGCGGACGGAGGAATGTGGTCGGACCCGGTTTGCTAAAGAGATTAGCTCCTCAAGCGCGCAGCCACGTAAGTTTAATGCTAACAGCGGCTGCTCCTCCGACAGCTAGCGGCAGTTCCACAAACTTACTGCCGCGAGCAACTTGTTGAAAACCTCCCTGCACCCAAACAGCACAATCTGAACTATGACTCGTTTTGTGAACATACCTTGTGGTTTCAACAGTCCGTGCACCGGAGTGTCCCTGCCATCCAGACCCTGATGAACTGCAGCCAGAGTTCCCGCAGACTCCCAGCGCACTGCTGCTGCTGCTGTGGGGCGGACGGGGACCCACAGAGCGGCTCTCCCAAACAGCCACGTATCAGGAACACGAGGGGGAGCACCAGGGAGAATGCAAACACGAGAGGGGAGTCACAGCGTGGAACCCGCCTCACCAGAGTTTGCAGGAAGTAGTTCATCCTCCTAATTGTTCCCAGACTAACGCAGTTGAAGGGATTGTTTACGTATTTGACGCAAATTCACGTGAAATGATGATTGAAATAAAACTTTTTCTTCTGGGGAAGAGGCACTTCAGGCATAAAACTGCAGATGCTGCATCATCTGCAGTAGCTGATTTGTTCTACTCAATACGACCGTAGAATTGTATGCACTTTATTTATAATAATAGTGCTGTGACACATTTCTAAAATATTGAGCAGCATAGCTGTTTCATTGCAAATCACTTTCAGTGTTTCAGTGATATGGTGACACTGAAACATAAACTCCATGCATACATTACAGTGCATTAGAAAGTCACTTTTTCCACATTTTAAGCTGCAGCCTCAGATCATATTTGATTTCTTTCCCCAAGCTTTTTATAATAGTTTGCTAAAATTCTGGCCCATTCCAGTAGAACCAAGTCAGGTCTGAAAGCGACCTTTCACCCCGTGCAAGTCAAGACTCGTTCATCTGTATCCAGCTTCAGCCCATATCTTCACTAGGCTTTTGCTTTGGTAGTGGGATTAATCTGCACATTTCACATTGGAACATGTTGAGGTGAGGAACACACAGCCCCTCTCCTTCCTGCATGGTATAAAAACTCGACATTTCATTCCTGTTTAAAGCTGTCTATATTTTTTGAGCAGATGAATGTTCAAAAAATATGCTTACAGAGGTCCACATTTTTCTCTCTCTTATCTTTGCTGATTTTTTTTCATGTCACAGAAGGAAACAGCACGTTTGAAGTCTTACAAAGCATTCAAGAAAAATACAAATCAAAATGGATTTTCATTTTATTGAAATGTTGTTTAATCAGACTTTTGCACAGCAGTGACTTCAAAATCTGAGCTTTACCAAATTGCTTAAGGGCATATTAATTTATTCCATCCATCAGTTGACTATACTCACTTACCTTGCAAGGTCTGGTGCCTTTCATGAGCAGTTGCTTGGTGAGGGGTAGGATAAACCCTGGAAAAGTTATCCGGCCATCACCGAAAAACACAAAGAGTTGAAGCACAGGTATAGGATACAGGACACTCACATTCATAGGGCAATTTAGAAAGTCATGTTTTGTGATTGTGATGATGTCCAGGTACCCAGAAAGTACTGCTGTTATGTTTCCTGAAAAATGCAATTGGAAGTTATTTTATTTCTCAGAACATATAACATTCATGGTAACAGGATTCCAAATTAGTTAATGTTTCCAGTCGATTTTACTGGACTTTTTCCAAAGTTTTATTTAGCTTTTGGAATCCGTACTCCAAAGATTTTCACAGTAACAGTCAGATTAGTTTAACCTGAATAGGTCATTGCTCTCTAAAATGATTAAACACCACACATATTACCTTAGAAATGGTAGAACTATGACATAAATCCTGCAATGATTGTCGCTGCGAGAAAGATGATGATGGGCAATAACCCTGCTTTTTTTTTTTTTTTTTTGAAGCATTGACAAAAAATGTAAAGCATAAATATTAATTAGAAATTACAATTGGTAGGACTATGTATTGGTTTTAGTTATTTCTTAGTAATCCCTAAAAAGTGATGTAAAGCGAGGCCTGAAAGTCATACAGGTTTTCTTTAAAATCCGACTCTTTCTTGCTCTCAGAAACATGTTTAGATTTTTTTTTTTTCTTTTTATCCACCCAACACTGACCTATGAATCATTGGCTTATGAGTCAATGGCTCCTGAACTGGAACAAACAAGTGTTTTTATCCACATATAAAAGACAACTTGGCAAACAGTCAATTTTAAATGGGATCTCTGGGCACTTTGTTACAGTGGTCATAGATATCCATGTCCTTATTTCTTTAGTACAGGCTCTGAAACATCCCAGAGAACTCAACTTGACAGTTTAAGACAGCTTTTTCAGCACCAACAAGCAATTAACAAACAGCTGTTGGGTAATAGATGTAAATTATACAGTAGGTAATAAATTTCATGTCTATGTTTTAAAGAGCTAATTTTTAGGTGACATTCAGCTGTTGAAGATTGTATGTTTGGCACACCTTCTTTTGTCCTCTGCTTGTATTCTTGCATTTACTCGTTTTCTTTTTGGCACACTGACTGCAACATACTGTCATGGTAATTCTCTTCATTAGAGCTGCTAAAACGAAATCCAAAGCCCTTCAGATTTCGGTGTTGCTGCAACTGAATTTCTCCAATTGGAACAAATAAAGATGTTTGTTCTCAATAATCTGGATTTCGCTGAATTTCTATTTTTTCCATGTTTTGTAATTTTAGCCACACATCCGAAAAACTGAATTGGTAAAGGCATTAGACATGAACATTTTTGATATAAAATATTTTCTTTATGTGAATGTTGCCCATGTTGAGAACCGTCTCAAAACCCCGCTTCCTCCCTCTCCTCAGTTGGATGTTTCACATTAACTACCCGACCACTAGGTGGTGCATGTGACATTTACTGCATGACTTGTGGCTTAACATTTGTTGAAACAGTAGATAAGAGATGTTAATTTTTATATAGTGGATGGCATGCAATTATATCTTTGGCTCAGCACTTCTGTTCTAAACTTGAAGATACTGCAAGTAATTAACTTGAGATGAAGTAAAAAAAACATTCTTTACAAGTCGTCCATTTAGATATTTTTTAATTTGAGGTGCACAATATATCCATTTGTTCCCAGACAGTGTAACACTAGCCACGAATAATGATATGCGTCTTTAAATAAATAAATACATTTTGAAATCTAATTATTTCCAAAAGGTTATCAAAAACAAAGACCGACCAAACATATGTCAGAGGCCTAAACAGGTTGCAGAAACGCACACTGTGCTCTTCAGAGACACGGTTTTTGATAATTGTAGACTAACCAAAGTTTGAAGTTCTCAATTTTTAAAAATAGACTAACGGACAGGCGGACTTAACAGTGAGAGATGTGAAGATAACCAAAATTCATGAATAATATCCGCACTGACTCATCTTTGTCTGACTTGAGCAATACACAAAAAAGAAAGAGGAACTACTTGTTTGGTGGGATCGAAGCCCAAAGCCTTATATGGGTAAATTTGGACAAAGTTGGTTGTTTTTAATATGTGTAGTTTGGGAATAAAGAGTTTAAACGAAATTAATGTCATGCATTATGAACCACACTGAGGTGGCAGACTAGCCAGATTTTGCGGAGCTACATGCTGATCGGTTTTGTGGGGAAAGAACAAAAAAGCCCTGAAACAGTTAAAGTGTCGTTCCACTGTTTGTACGCATGTGTACTAATGTCCATGCGCCTTGTGATTCACCCTTGTCTAATAATATCTGCAGGCCCTGTCTGAGAGCTAAAGGTTGTGGAGTCCAGTGAAAATGAGGAATCAGGAATAAGAAGTGAGAGGGCTGGATGTCCCCTTGGGTTGCATGTCAGGTGAGCGTTTCCATGTCATTGTGAAACACACGATGGCCACTGAAACCTCGGGGGACTGTCAGCCAGGAAGCACAAGCCCTAACATGGACCATCCGACGTTCAGAAATATTCAATGCAGTTTGTTCAGTTTTCATTTAAAAAAACAGTAGTTGGATACCCTCACGTCAGCGAAAAGCAACTTTGCACGATAACAGGACAAATTACCTCTGTGTTTCACTGGAGGTTCTGATCAAATTGCAAAAAAAATTGGGTAAAATTCAGCATTTTTTAATCTTTCAAGTTAACTATAATTCTAATCATTCCTGCATGAGCTTCTGCATAAAATAAAGCATGCTATGCATCAATGTTTATAAAAGTAGCTGGTTATGACTGTTTAGTTTTTGTTCAATATACACAGAGTAACTTCACAGAAAAAAAGCATTTATGCTAAATTTTCATCAAGCTAGCATCACCACAGCATAAATATGTAAACAAAAACAATTTGCAAAGTTTCTGTAATAATTTATTTGTGAAATAGTCACAATTTTGAGCTGATGTCAGCGTTGCTTTTTCCAGATGATATCTTCATGCCTGTTGTTTTTGAAATCTACTTTGTTTAGCAATCAGAGTCTGTTTCTCCACGCAGTGCTCATTTTACAAATTACTTCTGTAAAAACTTGATTATTTAGATTTTGCCAGTCTGTTCTGCATTTAGTGTATTTCAAGTCAGTGTTAAAGGGGAAGCGTCAACTATTGACATCTCATAAAGATGTACCCAATGCCACTGAATTCAAATTATGGTGATAATCTTTGTTGTAGTCTCCAACAGTGCATGCAGTCTGTTTCAGTTTCATGCTAAAACGGCTTTGTCAGGAGCATGTGAAAACATACACTTAAAGAACAAACTTCAAATGTAGTAATTATAAAATAAAAACGGGGGAAAAAACGCACACTACATGTTTTCTTTTTATTTCAACTAAGTCGAGACAGTCGCCGGTTGTTTGAACAAACTTTCAGTACTGTCAGGATTTCTCACAGCCTTGACAACTCATTTCATTGGGACAGTTTGCCACCTTCTTGTTTTAATAAGGAAGAAGAACAAGGAGAAGAAGCAGAAGCATTACAGGACCAACCTAAATTGGAAGAATTAAGGAAGTTTTTAGTTCCCCTGCTATTACTGAGATATATAGAAAGCTTGCATTTTTCAACCACCTTTGGCAATTTGCTTCCAGCGATTCAACATCTCCCTGGTTGACACCTTTGGAGGCTCACCGTTGGATGTTGCTCAGAGGACGACGGTAACAGACAAACCCTTCAGTCTTCTGAGCGAGACTGTGGGCGTTTCCTGCTTTTCCTGCTTAAAACCCTTTGAAATGAATTGCTGCATAGCTATTATTTCGTGTTTTGCAAGTTTTTGATATAGAAACGTAATTGCTTAAATAAGTACCTAGTTGTTTTAATCATACCCTTAAATCCTGCAAAATG